CCGAAATATCAGAGGACAAACGAATTCATCGAGTTAAACGTCAATGTGGATGTTGTTCATGCTATGGTTCTGGAACATCTTCATGTCCATGTTCATCATCATGTTCATGTATTCCTGGTGCTAATAATTATGCAACCGGTTATAATGATATGGGATACGGTAGTAATGGTATAAATGTTAATGCTGGATATGGTAATTATGGTTATGATTATCTTTTTAATCAAGGATATCCATATACCTCTGTATGTATTATTTTCATTATTTTCTGTATAAAAGCAAAATAATGAAGGAAATTATAGCAAATATTAATGAAAAATCTGGTAATAATAAGATCCATCATGTTATTTATATCATACATTAATATTCGGTTCTTATAAAAGCAAATATTATTAATAATAATTGATTATTAGTTACAGTAGTGCTGTTACATATATCATTGATAATTTTTTAATTGAAAAATTTGAATTGTTATATTACGATGACAAATATGGTCACGAAATGATTGAATTAAAACGATGTTTGATAATTTTTAGATCAAATAATAATCAAAAACTGTACATATTTCTAAATTATTTAATATCTCATTAAAAAAAAAATAAAAGAGTTCATGTAAACTTCGAAAAAAAGTTATTATTAAATCTGCTTATTCCAGGTAGTTATTATTAATCCTGCTTATTCCAGGTAAATAAAGCTATTTATTCCAGAAAAAATAATTCCAGATATTTGGTAATATTTGGATAAAATAATGATAAAAAATTAATTTTATATTTTTAGTAATTAATTTGTTATTTTTAGTATGGCCAATACAATGCAAATGGTTATGGTATTAATTACAATATAGGAAATGGATGTGGCTTAAAAGGAACAGCATCATCAACAGCTTGTGGTATGAGCAATATATTTCCATACAATTTTGGTACTAGTTATGGTAATAATTTTGGTACCGGTGATACCGGATACGTTTATCCACAAATGACCGGTTGTTCAACAGCATTTAATACTCGTTGCTATTGTGGAACTGGTTATTCGCCATGTAATAATGGTGCATTATGTTGCAAGAATAGTCTGATATAAGGCGTTGAAATTAATTAATAAATGAAATGATTTCCAATTTCATTTATAGAATATTTCTTTGCGAAAAAATCCGCCCTTTTAATTAATTATTTTGTTTTACAAATTTCTAATTTTTTTGACGTTATATTTATAATGAAATCAAAGGTATTTTCTTTTTTTTTTTTTTGAATGAAATGAATTAATAAATACAATAAATGAAGTTTGATCAGTTAGTTGTTTGCAATTATTTTACCTACTTTCTATATCAATCACTCCATTTATTGTTTTTTTTTCTAAAATAGTTAAATAAAATTTAAAACAAAATAAAAAAAAAGTTAAATAAAAATTTCTAGATAATTTTTTAAAATTAATAATGAAATTATGCAAATTAAAAATCATACCGTATAAATGATTCTTTTTTTCTCTTCATATGTATGTGAAATATATTCAAAGCATATAATTTTTTTTTTTCAAAGCATATAAAATTAAACCAGAAATTGACAAAATTTAAAATTCAAAGGGAAATTTAAAGCTAAAAAGAGTCAGAAAGGTACTATGCTAATTTCCATTCAAATAAACACAGAAAAATGTCTATCAAACAAAATTATCACTTTATTTTACAGCAAAAAAAAACTGCGTAAGATAATTACCAAACTGGATACCAGTTTACCTGGATACTAGATGCCAATAATGATTCACGAAAAAATAGAGCACTGATAACACTGATATGATCATTTCTTTAGGCCCAAATTCGGTTACTGCAATGAAGAATAAGCTCTACAATTACATGTTTTTATTCAATTTTTTAAAACAAATAAATTAAATTTATCTCCTGAAATGAGTATCTCATTTATTCTATTTTTCGATATGCTTAATTCACTAATTAACAATAATATAATTACGAAATTGTTGATCACTTCTAAACATACAAATGTTTGAGCATATTATAATTGCAAAGTGTTACTGTAATTATGGCTTAAATTATTCTAAGAAATTAATTTTAATTCTGGAATAGCAACGTAATTTTCTAAATTGATCAAAATGTCTGATTGTTCCATAACAGTTTCGGAACTGGGAATACTTTTCAATTTGCATATCTTGCATGATAATTAATATTTGCCAATTAATAATTCTTTCATCCCACTTCATAGAAAAGGCTTTATGGTACTAATTGCCAACAGATCGATTGAATTGCTTTTTAAAGTCATACCTGATATATGAACACAGGTAGTCAGAGAATATTATCCGTTTTATTAAAGTAACAAAAATACCATATCTGTGATTCAATGAAGCTACCAATCAATAATAAAAGCAATCATTCCTCAGCATTGATCGGATTCCTATAATCGAATTTTCTGTAATCCAGCAATTGCATATATGCAACCTGATATCGCAACAACACTCTGTCTCAGTTGCCGATGGAAAAATAACCTACCTGAATAACCGGTAATGTCATATTGTGAAGAAAAAATAATGTCAACGAAAAGTTGTTGAAATTAGGGTTGGCACATTCAAAAACTAAGGGACTTTTTGTGATATTTGGAGACTTTCATTAAATTTTATAAATTTTTTTTCACAAAAATTGGAATTAAGCCGAATTAGTTTCAGGTGAACCAACCATAAAGGGTTTTCACAGCAATGCAATAACAGCGAAGACCAATTAACATTTTATCTCTGCTTGGCATTTTCTTAAAAAGGTTTTAATGAGACCAAAATGAAAACGAGGTGCGACATTTCTCTTCAGAAATGCTCTCTGGGTCAATGATAACAGTTTTCGTATTTCCCTTTCCAGCTTTCAATTGTTTTCTTCATCCATCTCTAATGTTTATCCTAACATTTATCAAAATTAAAGTTTTAAAATCATCAAAATTTTTATCTTTATTAGGTAATTTATTTCAGTTTTAACGGTTTTGAAACTTCAAATTTTTCATCTTTACTAGGTAATTGATTTGAATTTAGCACATTTAATACAATTTAATTTAGCACATATTCATTTTTGACTTTGAAAATACTCAACTTCGAATATTTTATTTCAGATATTTCCACAATTTTGATCTTTGATTTGTCCCATTTACCCCTTACCTCCTCGAATAACGTTTATCATTTATCATTCTTTGGTAAAATGATAAGTGCAACATTCAGGTTTTTTCAACGAAAGTTCAATTATGATTTTCACACGAAATACATTATTCATTTGATTTCTCGTCGGTCATTTTGCATTTAAACTTTCATTTATAAGTTTAAAATTAGCATGCTAGCAATTAGAATGAATTTTCCCCTTTCAAAAACTAGTCTTTAGCAAAACTAAATTCTTTCATCCTTTTCCGAACAAGGATACGATTTCTCATCGGTATGAATCTTCATATGTCTATGCAGATTCCTTGACGTGGTGAAATTTGCTGTGCATTTCGGACAAGAAAACGGCTTCCTACCGGCATGAATCGCCATATGTCCATTCAGATACTCTGCCCGGGTGAAATTCATTGTGTATTCCGGACAACGGCCTCTTACAGCTATGAATTATCATATGTCCATCCAGATTGTCTGACCGGGTGAAATTTGCCGTGCATTCCGAGCAAAAGAACGGCTTCTTACCGGT